TTTTACCTATAGCAACAAATTGGTCCGTTTCTTTGAGAAACTCTCCTTGGCATGAGCATGAAAATTCTGCGTTCACCGGACTCTGAAAAAGGCCGCCATTTTGACGCCGGGATGAAAGATGGCAAGCCTGGTTGCATGAAACACTGCGATTCTTTGCTTCGGTGACTCCATTCACCTGGACCAGCTTGAGTCAAAGCCGTCACCTTGAACACGGAAAGAAGACATTTGGTAACATTTTATTACAACAAATTTTTCAGAAGAACAAACTTTTTGTAAAATTCCAGCAAACAAAAAAAAAACAAAGGGTATAGGTTGAAAACAATCTCGTTATAGAGAAATTCACAATTCCAATGCAAAAAAGTTTTTGTGAGGAATGTTTAAAGGATTCTCCAGGTAGAAATTTCCTGACCAATGCAGACACAGTCTGAAATTTCTGACTAAAAAATGTGACTGACTGGTTCTTGAAGCATTGATGAAATCTCTAATCAATGACAAACATACTTTCCATAAAGTTCCACACATCATCTTACCAGAATCAAAAGATTTGTGCAACTGATGGAATGCATGATTAAAGCTAATTTTTTTCAAATTTAAAAATTTTTTATCAAACAATAAAAAATCTGAGGATCCCAGAAAAAAGATCCAATTGATTTCAGGCAGGTCTGAATTAAAACATATGTTCCATTCATTCATTCATTCTGGAACTAATCAAATTTTCCAGTAGAACAAACTCTCTCAGAAGCACCCAAAAATAAGTTGAAACAAGATTTTACTGCACTACAGGAACACAAGTGGAACCTTCTGTTATTTTTAAAAATCCCCCACCATTGATTTAAATCCTTTTTCACAGTTGAATCTCTCCAAGTCAATTTCCAAGGGATCAGCAAAAAAATAGAACTTTAGAATACCATTTCTGCATTCCAAAAAATGAGGAAATGGAAATTTATATATCCTGGACCAAAACTGCTTTGTTTAGAAATCAAGAGGATGCTGAACTTGCAGGCAAGGATTCATTTGATAAATTATTCTTCCACTTGCTTTCAAAACAAATCGAGATACATTTTTATGGCTTTCATTTCTTTGGGTCAAAACAAATAATAGCCAAAATGCCCCCCGAAAATATAAATGACTTGTGAAGATTTTTCTTACATTTGTTTCCAAGATACTTCAGACCGGAACTTCACAAAAATTCGAATTACTCTGCAATGCATTTCGACGCGGTATATATTGCCAACTCACAGTAATAGAATAGTTGGTATTCGGAGTGCCCAGAACAGTTTGCCTAGTTTCATTCCCCATCGTCTGCACTTCCAAGTCATCAACAGTGTGCTGATTGTACCCTTCTTCATCATCATAGATTGCTGACATCACAACCTTCATCTGCAAGGAACGAAAAAAAAAAAAGAAATTCAACACTCAGAACTTGGCGCACTTTCGTCAAATTCACGAACCTTATATTTGACTATTTTACCCCCAACTTCCTTCGGTGGGTCCCAGCGAACCCGCAAAACCGGAAACTCCGGGTCTGCGAAGCATTCCACCGCGACATTCTGCGGCTGACTCGGTGCTGAAAAAAAATCATAAAAATTACTCCACAATCGCAGGCTTTAAAAAATTAAAAATATTTTTTTCTCACGAGCATCCAAAGTAGCTCCGATGACGCCCTTGGAAGCATTCCCAGCCAACCCCGAAAACCCATGAACAGCTCGTGCGACGAACTCGTAAGCTGTCCCAGGCATGAGTTCATTCAACGTTACAGACCATTTGAGGGACACTTCGTCAATCCTAATGTTTTTCTCCATCACGCGAGTCTTGTCATCCACACTGATCATGTTCAGACGATACGCCCCAATGAATTCCATCACGTCCTTGGGAGGCGGATCGATCTTGAGAGTCACTGAAACCTTGCTGGCTCCAGACAGAGTCATCACGGGTTTGTACTTCCCAAAAGGATCTGGAGTTGACCAAGGAATCATGAGATACATCTCGTTAAAACAAATTGTTTGGGGAATTCAGAAAAAGTTCGTTATAACAAGATTCTTCAACGTTAGTGACTGGAAAAAGATTTTCACATCACACCTGTCTATAATCAATTGGATCAGCGTTCCCAACCTTTCTGGGCCTGCAGGCCAACAAAATCATTTAAAAATTTTTAATGAAAAAATTTTTTCTGCACATTGGCACAGTTTCAAAAATTTGGCAGACTCGATAAGTTTTGTTAGGAAAACTTCACAACAGACATTAAAACAGTTCTTGCTTTTCTTGCAAAAATTAGGTCAAGAACAAGTGAAGCAGTTGTGATGATTTCAAAAGATTAGAAAGGTGGGCTCTTAGAAAAGCTTCTCAGATTAAAATTTAAGATCACTCATGTCAGCAGGTGAAAATATTTCTGAAGTGTTATTAAGAGAAAAGCCATCTTCTCTTTTTCAACAGATAATTTCAACTGCAACTGTCTCTCTGGAATTTCCGATGAAGACAAAAAATGCATTGCAACTTTTTTTGAAGTCATTCTGCTGAAGAAAATGTCCTGAAAACTGGCACAGAACTTCTACAGACCACAGGCTGGGTAGAAATAAATACGATCATGCTTTACTGGCATTCTCAGATCTATCATTCTTGTATGAAAAACTGAATAATCTTTGGCATAAAAAATTAGCTTCAATCATGAATTCCATCAGTTGCACCAATCTCTTCATTCCAGGAAAATAATGAGTAGAACCAGTAAAACACTTGGAAAGCATATTTGTCATTGATTGGCTTTCATGAATGCTTCAAGAACCATTCAGCCATCTTTGGGATCAGAAATTTCAGACTTTGTCTGCTTTCCTGAGAGAATTTCTTCCCAGAAAATGTATGGAACATTCCTCAAAAAGGTTTGTTACACTGGAATGGAGACTTTTGTCAAAATTGGATTGCTTCAAGATATACTCAAGGGCAGTGTTCTACAAACTTTTGTAAGTCCCTAAGATTTTTTGAAAGCCAGCAAATTTCCTGTGGTCAAACATAGTTTAATAAAATGTTTCCAGATTCAAAAAAGTTGCTTGAAAGATGTCAGGGCAGGTACCAACTTCCAGAAGTGGACAATGAGTTTTACAACAATCAGGAAACAATGAAGCAGCTCTAGTGAAATGGTGTCAAGAAATTATGAAGGTGGGCTTGAAGAAAGGTTTCTTACAATGATAAAATCAAAATAATCTATTTCAGGTTTCAGCAGGTGAAAATTTGTCTGAAGCATCATGAATAGAGAAGAAAACTTTCATTCTCCCATCAGCTTATTTCAACTGCAATTGTCTTTCAAAAGATGAAGATGGCAGATTTCATTGCTACTTTTGATAAATCAATCAGGCTGCAGAAATTTAACATGGACAAGCAAGAAACTTCTGTGGACCACAGGTAAGAATAAGAATACACTACTTTATAGGCTGAATGCCAGTACCAGTGAAAAAGTTAGTTATACTTAAAAATAAGTTGTACCAGCATTTGTTGTAATGAGATTTCATCATATTCTCAAATAATGCATATATTCCACCAAGTCTCACCAGAAGTAGGCGTGGCAAAGGCATCAGAAACTTCAGACCACGGCCCCATGCCAACGCTGTTCTCTGCAGCAAGCTGAAACACGTATTTCTTATTCGCCAAAAGTCCATCCACAACATC